TGTGCTCCAGTCTCTCCTCCACCCCCATCATCCGCTCCTGTGTGCTCTGGTCAGATATATCCTTTTCCCGAAGCTGCAGGTTCAGTGCCATCCTTTGAAATAAATTCCTCTCGGGGGAAAAGCAGGCATCCACTTAGTATTTGGGGCTGGGACCAGCCCCCTCGACCTCTCCATTGATTCCCTACTCCGCGCCGGCATGTTGTCTTCACACCTTGGAGCACTGGGTTGAAGTTTGGTACCTCTTTTCCTGTGGAGATATAAACAATACCCTCCCCTTGGGTGGGTTAGTGCCCCATGCCCCCGCTACCCATTTCTTCCTTATTTTCATCAATTTTTTTTTAATCAAACTGTGACTGCATTAATCCATTTTGCGATGCACTCTAAAAGCAAGGTTATTAAGATCTTTAGACCAGTGGTTATCAACCTGAGGGTTGCAACCCCTTTGGGGGGGTTGAACAACACTTTCACAGGGGTCGCATGATTCATTACAGTAGCAAAATTACACTTATGAAGTAGTAATGAAAATAACTTTATGGTTGGGGGCAATCACAACATGAAGAACTGTATTAAAGGATTGTGGCATTAGGAAGGTTAAGAACCACTGCTTTAGACCATGGTCTGAGAGAACTTAATGTGTTCAATATGTCAATCGCGATCTTCTAGTGGATTACAAATGTAGTGTGGGTACATCACGTGGCATTTAAAAAATAGATGTAAAAAAAATAAATAAAAAATAGATGTAAGCCTATCATCTATCCTGTCACTTAATTGATATGTAACACAGCCAATCAGATACAATCTTTGGTGTCGAAAGCATGGGCAAACAACTGCACTAAGTGCAGTAAACCTGACAAGCTAAGTTATCACCAATTTTTAGACCTTGTTTTTTTCCCCTTAAGTGTTAAGAAAGGGTTTTTAAATGAGTGGGAGAGCTGGACCAAGTAAGAAGAAAAAATGTATCACTTTCATACAGAATGGGAGTTTTTGACCCTACAAGCCGACATTCAGCTGAAGTCCAGAGCTCATGAACAGTCCTGGAACTTACTCACAGAGAGAAAGTACCCAAACATGAGAAAATGTACTACAGTGAACCCTCGTTTATCGCGGTTAATCGGTTCTAGACCCTACCGTGATAAATGAAATTCCGCGAAGTAGGGTTCCTTATTTGTAAATCAAATATTTTCGTTGTTAGAGCATAGAGGACATGAAAACACACCCTTTAGTCACCATTACACTCGTATTACCCAATTTATTAA